GGTGGAGGGGGACGTCCGAGAGGGACGTCGGGGGGGACGGGGAGGGGGCAGAGAGAGAGCCGCGTAACTGAACGGGGCCGCCGCGGCAGATGCTAGGGGCGAGCAGCGTGCTGCCACCTCGTTGACCCGCCGAACAGCGTTTTTGTTTTAGGGACAAGCGGGATGGAGTCGCCCTTTGCGATCTTTGGCTCTCTCTCTTTCTCTTTCACTCCCTCCCTCCCCTGGGGGCGCGAGGAGCCACAAGCGCAGAGTGCGTGGAAAGGCAGTGGTGATCGGCGTCCTGGTGGGACGTCGTCATATCGTCGCCGTCGTCGCGGTGCTTTCCACCGATTTCTCGCTCCAATTATCGGCCCCGAGGACGACGACGACGACGCCTCTGCAAAGCTAAGCGGAGTCTGGCGATGATGATAAAGAAGGGAGTCACTTCACTACCGAGTGTGTCCGTCTGAGGAGGTGACAATCCTCGCTCGGGACGGAAGGGCTCCGGAGGCGAAGAGGGGGGGAGGGGGAGTGAAGGGTGACGTCTCGGCTTAACCTCTGTCGCGATAGCGGGCCCAGCACACACTGGAGACCAGGGCGGAGGGAAGGGCTGAGAGAAGAACGAAGAGAGAGAAGCATGGTTGCGCCGGCAGAGGGTGGGGCGACAGATAAGGAAGAGAGAGAAGGTGGCGCAGAGTAAGGGGGAGAGAGCAGTGTGTCACGAGTGGCTCGCACTCACTCACTCACTTGCTCGCCCCTCTCTCCCCTCACCACTCGCTCATACTAGCAGGCCGTCACGATGGCACCCTCCCACTTGATCAAGATACCCCTGAGCGCGGCGCTTTGCCACCTCACCACGCTCCGCCACGCCCCGCTCACTCGGGTGTCACCCGCCGTAATTTCTCGGAATAACGGCGCTAACCCCCCCCCCCCTCCGTCTTTTGATTTGTGGCACTTTTCAATCCTCCTGAAGCCCTTGTGCTAATGTGCGGAGGGCGAGCAAATAAAACGTCTTGACACGCCTGCATAGAAATATATCTCCCCCTCTCTGTCGGGACGAACACACGCACACACACCCACACACACACACACACACACACACACACGTGCCGACGACATGATATGGAGGGCGCGCTGCCAACAGCTTACAAACAGCCGTGCGAGCCTCGCCGCCTTCTCTTCCCTCCTCCTTCCCCTCCCAGACTCGATTCCCTTTTCAGGGAGGGACCTGCAGCAGAGGAGCCACGCCGTGCCGAGCCACCCCACGCCACGTCGTGACCTCCTCCCATGGAAACACTGTTTACCCCATTCTTTGTGCGCCCATCTCTGTCTCTGTCTCTCTCTCTGTCCCTCCCTCTCTCTCTGTCTCGCTCGCTCGCTCCCTCTCTGTCTTTGTCTCGCTCTCTCGCTCTCCCTTTCTGTCTCTGTCTCGCTCTCTCGGTCTTCTCTTTTTCACACCCTGGGCGCGCGGGGGCGGCGCCCCCTCCGCTGACCGGAACATGACTAGGCATAACACGGCCCTGGTCCCTTCGGTGAGGGTTAGGGGCCCTGGCGCTGGCGGCTGACGGCCTCGGGGCGTCGCGCGACCTCCACGATGGTGATTGCGACCTCCACGCCCGGCTGCCGCTGCAGCCGCTGCAGCCGCTGCAGCCGCTGGAGGGGCTGTGCCGGGCTGTGCCTTCCTTCTTCTCCTTGATAGATCGCGAAAACACGGCGCGCGGAGAATCAGCAGCAGCAGCAGAGTGAGCCAAGCAGGAGGCGTGGCTGGGCGCGCGGGGTGGTGTGGCGTCAAGGTTCGTAGGGCGGGGCGGGGTGAGGTGGGGCGGGTTTGGGGACCCGGTGGGCGCAGGGCCAAGCACTGCCATGCCTCTTGTCGCTGCAGTATTTCCATGGGACACACTTTTCTTGCCGTGACGGGGGGCACCGGGACGGGGTGCGGCCTGACGCGGCGGCGCGGCGCTGCTGCTGCTCCCACCGGCCGTACTGGCATACTCTTGCCTCTGATCGCATTCAGTGTACTCTCACACGCACTCTCTCTCTCTCACACACACACACACACACACACACTCGTCGAGCGCGAGCGCTGCCGAGGGGAGAGCCTTGCTGCATGCTGTCCCGCCGCGCTGCCGCGTGCTGCGGGAGAGCCCACCCTCCGGGCGGCCCTGCAGTCGCGTCGCCTGGGCGCGGGGTATATCCGCTCCGCGTCCGAGCGAGCGTGAAGGGCGACCGGCTCTCTGGTTTCATACGTGAGCCAAGATAGCCGCCCGAGCGTGATATGCCTTCTGCCTTAGTGCGCGCTTAGTTAGAGAATGTAATTAGAATGCTGCAAAAGTAGCGAATCCAAACCCCATTTGCGATCGAGCCAGCAGCGAGACAAAATTCTCGGATCCGGGGGCACCGCGGTGTGCGGAGCCAGTCCCCCCTCCACCAACCTCGCCCCGCAGTCTGTCGGCGGGGATTAGGTAGTTTGGTCCGCGCGTTTCGCCGCAACGCCACTGTGAGGGCCGCGGGTAGCGGGGCGGGGAATGGTGGGGATGGGGGGCGGTCACCTTGTCTTCCTCGCTGGAAATCTTGGCTGGGGCGGGCGCGCCCCGCGTGCAAAAGGAACGGAAAACGAACGCGAAACCCGCAACAACAAATCTTGTGAAGCGAGAGTTGCTAACAAGCGTGGCCCGGCAGCAGCCGGCTCATTTGTATTCACGTTTCGCTGCGCCCCGCCACGCCCCGCGTCGCCCCGCCACACCCGACCCCGACGCGCCGCCCCGCCACGCCTCGCGCAGGTCCCCCATTGGGCCGAAATTCACCTGCAACTATTGAATTAGTCTAGCCAGTGGTGCTAACCTCGCCGATAGCCCCAACCTCTCCCTCTTGCCACATTTCCTCTTGCCTCTTCGTGGTGTAGACACCCTTCCTCCCCTTTCCAACTGGCGGGAGCAGGCGCTCTAGAATAAAATATCGACAACGGCTCATTCCTTTTCTTCGCAATGCTTAATCGGCTTTATTGCTTCTGTGGCAACGTGCTGCTACAACGTCCCACGACGGAGTCCTCTCCTCTCCGCTCCCAAGTGCGCCACGTGTCCCCCCC